ACCTGGCGAGCTGTAGTAAAGCAGTAAAGCCTCCGTCGTCGATCGCTGAAATTGTTTGTGTGCGAATGTGAGATGGAGATGCATTCCTCAGGGCCGACTCCCAGCCCCGAGAGTGTTGAGAGAGTGCCCCATTTCTCTTGCTGAACCCTCCTCGAAAGTAATTGAATTTTGGATGAATCCGCTGAGGAGGAAACACTGTCAGGGAGGGGAGAAAGTGGATGCTTTAGGAAAAAAACAATCAAAGAATGAGAGGCAGGTGACAGCACCTTTTGTATGAGCTTTTCTTTAAAGAATGGCGCGCTGTGAGATGGTTGACAGGATAAGCTTTTAAGGGAGGGACTATTTTTTCCAAAGATTTCATATTTTTGGGACATCCAGTATCCATTCATTTGTTGAAGGGGGATAACTCTCCTTGCTTTTTTCTGCTCTATTGTATTCCTGATCATATCTCTGACAGTTAGACAGCTGCACTGAATCTTTCACTTCTCACTCGCTAATAATCATGTGCCAAGACGTAAGACGATAGTGACAGTAATACATTGACACCCTTTTCATGATTACTGATAACAAAGTGAGTGTTTGACCTTGATAAGCTCTTGAGTAGCTAATTTCTTCAGACAGGTGGCCATCTCCGTAAATACACTCCATTAGCATCACAAGCAGGGAATCAAAGGGAAAGCACATGGTCAAATTAAAGCTTAATATTTGTTATTTTTGGGGAAACACTGCCATGATTTCCTTTTACTCCTTCACTGCTGAGATTACGGATGGAACTGAAGAAGCTCTCTAGTTTGAGTGTGGGTACTGATGTATAGTAACCAAGAGAACCATACTAACTGCTTTCAGTTGAGTTTGTAGCACTGTTTAACACCACAGGAGCTGGACGGCCATCATGGACACAAAGCGAGAGCATCAAATAGAGCCTCAAATGGCTCCTCAATGACTTTAATAACCACATAGACATGTGGAGGGCAATCATGTTTTACAAAAGCAAGAATGCCTGCATCAATACGTGTGTGGCTGCCAGATTAGTGCAGCACTTTTTAGGCTCGCTTTGATCTTCTCAACAGGGCCTGCCTCCCCTTTCCTCGGTGGACCTGACACTTGTGTATCCAGCGGACGTGAAAAAAAACCGGGGGGGGGGAAAATAAATATTTTCCCCCCCCCTTAAGAACATGTGGCCAACCTTTTAGCTGATGTCTTAACTGACATATTTGACAAATCACTCCTGCAGGAATGCTCCTCAGCGATTACTAAGCACAAAGCAGTGTCCTTCTATCTATCATCTATCTATTTATTCATTCTCCGAGCTAGGTGTGCAGCAGCATGTCAAAGATGCCCAATCAAAGATACCCAACTGGATTGTATTTGGTGCCAGCAGATCCACAGGATGTCATCTCCACTCAGCTCTTACACCTTAAAAATAACAGCACCTATGTCTGAATGTTTTTTGACAAGAGTCTTACTATCTTCTACAACTGGATTCTGGACCAGCAGACCACTGACAGTTTGGATTGGGCCACACCTCCACAAAATACTACTACATACAAGTACTGTGTGGAGGTTACCTCAAACTTCCACAGAGGGGTAATTGAAAGAATCCCGTCTTCTCAGGTGACAGTGTGGCACCATACAAAAGAGAATATTTTAAAATCCCCCCCAAATCATCTATCGTATCGTTCCCATTCATTCGCCGAGCTGAGGTGCGTGCAGCAGCATGTCAAAGATGCCCATCTAGTCCAGCCACAGTCTGTTCCTCCTGCTGCTTGTCTAGCTGGAAATACAGAAGGATCTGCTGACAGGGCAGCTTCTTTCCTTAGGCTGTAAGACTCCCCCACACCACCACCAATGAAGACTCAAATGTCACTCATCTCACCTACCTCTGCTCTACATGCTCAACATCTGGCAGTAAATAGAGCGGAAACAAGGAATCAAATGACAGAAAATGTATCTTCATTTGAAGGGGTCGCCTTGAGGTTTAGCAAGTTGCAATGAGTATTTTCTACTGTTTTGGGGCATTTTATAGACCAGCTTATTATTTGATATATTTCTTTAGATTCTGCAGATTAATCCATTATGATTAATTAGTTGAACTAGCTGAATGTTTACAGGAAGTTATTTTCAAATCCTAATTAAACACTGAGAGCAATACATTTTACTGTTTACTGTAGTATGTAAAGATGATGTTGCATAACTCCTTATCTTTCTATTTCTTCTTTTTGCATAACTAGAATTGTCTTGCTCTTTTTGCAATATGCCACAATGTGCAGTCTACAGTGACATTGACGCTTTGCATCTATCCAATAGGTAATCATTAATTAGCTGGAATATTGCATAGTATTTGCACATAGTATTTTGTTTTATTTTCAGTATCTTCAAAAAATACAAATAACATATAACTAACCTTGGTTGGAGAAAAAAACCCCACTGAGATTGGTGTCCTTGGAAACAGCTTTGTGAAACCTCACTTCTGGAGCTATTTTCCTCTCAAAGTAGGCACACAAGCCAAAAGCACTCATGTTTTCATGTGTGATTCTTCAATATATTTAATCCTATAATCCACAATTTTTGCTGTCTGCACACATGCAAGCATATTGTATGATCAGTGTACCCAACAGAAGATGACTTACCGTATTTACTCATCAGTGTAGTCGGTACCAACATAAAATTAATTACCCTGCATTGCAGGAGCACGGTTTTAACCTTTTCAGTTTGATGTTTAGCAGTCCAGGATATCACTGTGAGCCGTACGGATACCGAGCAGAACTGGTGATTCAGTTGTTTCCACTGTGTTCAAACCAAAGGAAGAGACCACAGCTTTTGTGCTAATGTTGCAGACTGTCGCCCAACATGGAAAACTAATTAAAAAGATAAGATTTTTGTGTGGTGGCGTGTAGCTTTTTGAGGTGGCATTGGTTGCAGGAAGCAAGGGCTGATGACAATAGGCCTTTGACAAGAAGAACACGGCAATGTCGCCATCTTTGGCTGCTGGCCAGTTTTGAATGCCTCTGTGAGTGTCTCAAGGGTTTTTGTGGCTTTTCAGGGTTTCCCCTCAAAGGGTTTCTGATACAGCTTTGTGGAATCTATGTAAAGCATCTTTGTCGTGACTGAAATGCCAATGGAAGAAACCTCGTAGCCTACATGGACATCTTGTCACACCAGAGCAAAGATGGCACTTTTGCCTCTAGCAAGGAGATGAATTAGTAGCCAAACAAAAAGAATTTTCACATGGAGGGGTTTAATGAGTAAGTGCATCACTGAGGAAGACTGTTAGCTGGGAGCAAAATCTGAATAAACTTAACCTTTAATGAACTTTAAACCAGTCTTATTTCATATTAGATACAGTTTGACTCCAATTAGCTTTTTTTTTTTCATAGTTCATCAGACAAATAGTTCTGATTGGCTTGAGGGTTTGCATTGATTCTCATGTTGCATCCTTACTATTATTTTTCTTAATGACTACTCTTAGCTACAATTAAGTTCAGCAGTTATAAAGACCTGGCATCAATTAGTAGGTGAAAAATTCAAAATTTATATTCTAAGACTGGCCAAGATATTATCAGGACCAAATTTATAATTTAAAGCTTGCATTGTTCTAGTGTTTATGGGTATTTCAGTCATTGGCTATGATATAAGCCAGATAAACCACGCCAACCTGTGCTGTTATGAGATATCACACGTTACAACACATTCTATTTCAATATCCACACATCAACTTAAGCTACACCATGTCAGATTTGGTATTTGTTGCGATTCGGCCCCCCATAGTCATAAATATGGACAGCTGTACACATTCATTTGTTATGATTTGCATTACTTATGATCAAAAACTAGCAACTCGACAACTTTGCTAACACAGCCAAACACCAAGTAAGTGCAACAACACAAGACATAGCAAGCTAGCTAATATTACTGACTTTTCCAACAGCGAGAAGCCCAGCTTGCGGTCTGTCTGCAGCCTTTTATTTCACAAAGCTGTCATTAATGACTAAAAACCAGTCCACCATAACCCAATGTATTTTTCAGTTTCATTAATAAAGGTTCCACCTGAGACACCATGTTAGTTGCTAAGATAACCATGTATATTAGATTTTAATTTTTTAATAATTGTACTTACTTGTTTTGGTACCAGCATTATATATTAGGTCATCGCTGCCCTGCTCTCTACATATCAGCATGAGCCATTGAAAAACCCATATCCGTCAACCAGTACTTGTCAGTGCTTTCTAAATGACCTATCTTTCTGTGGTATTCCTGCTCTACAGTTTCTTATTATCAGCCATCATATATACTGATACCAATAATGTGTGATAAGCCAATATCGATCAATTCAATGGTGATTCTGTAGTTTTTGTTTGTTTGTTTGTCTTTTTGTTAATAATTCTGGCCTGCACATAGATCCAGATTTAAACTTGTACTTGGAGAGTGATTGCTTTTAACTTACTGTGTTAGACTGACACCAGCTGAAATGTCATGTTATGTTGACAGTTCTCCATATATTAGACCATATTTAATTTCAACCACCATCTTATACATCATTCCTGTATGAGAAGCTGCATGTTAACAGAAAGATATCCTGATCAAAGTGGGCACCTGATTATGTCAGTTGGTTGCATTAGTGTCGTAGGTAGTTGACAAAGCTGCAAAGCCAGGTTCGCCTTGATAGAGATGCGTCTTGACATTTGTATCATCAACAGCCTCCCCCTGATTATACAGTAAGTCCCTGAAGAGTCACTGGGATAAATAAAGCAGAGGCAGACAAACACTTTAGAGAACAGGATTTGCACATAGTGGTGTTGGATTTTTTCCAGCTGACCTTAGGTCTTGTAAAAGTTCTGCAATTATTGGCTCAGAACTTGAAGGTTTTTTATGTTTTAGCTTTGATCAAGCATCTCCTGCCAGTATCATTATCTCTTCTTTTTTGATGTTTTGGATGTATTCGGTGTATTCTCGGCCTGTCTCAGTACAGAATAATAATGCAAGCTTTTGTTTCCTTTTAGGACTGGTAAAAAATGAAAGCTCCCATTCCTCTTCTGATCCTGCTTCATGCCGTTGTGGTCCATTGCCTGAAAGTGGTGTCGAAGAGAGGCTCAGGTAAGTTTTCTCTTTTTTACAACGACTACTTTATTTTTCTTTTGTTCAAATGATAGACAGTCCTAAAAACCAGTGGGAAAAAATGCTGATTAGAAATATATTTTACTTAGAGTATGCTATATATTAACGTGTAGAGCCTCCTTAATTGGTGCGGGTATGATTCCCTGGGACCTGCCAAGATTTCAAGGCTTTTTTTTTGCCTGAAAGCACAAACCGTGTTTCAGTCAACAGCAGGGGGATCACATGGCCTTGTTGTACTTGGAGGCTCCAACCAGTCTTTTGTCTTTTAACAGCTTGATTTACAAGTCCACAAACACTCAGTTTTTCAGTCTGAGGCTCTGTGAGTGATGATGTTGATCTTTGCAGATCAATTGCATGGTTTAATCTTGTTTAAATGTGTTGTCAAAGTTAATAAGAACACAAACTTACAACTTACCTCTTGATTGCATAATGTGAGTTCACATGGTTTTGTTGAGCCAATGTCGGTTCAGTAATGTGTATTAACCCTGCCTCAATTGGAACCCCAGGTGCAAATTTGAATGAATGAACATATGAGTGAGTTACTTTCTTGATGCATTAAGCGCTATTTAGGTTGAAGCTATGGAATTTGCAGCAATATTCAAGTATTTATAGAGCCGTGGCACTAATACTGCACACCTCTCCAGACTTGAAAATAATCACTTTGTACAAGATGATCTATTGCAAGCTAGAGGAACAGTCCACATTGGCTAACAGGAAGCATAAAGTAAGTCTTTTCTGTTTTTTATCTTTTTTTTTTTTTTTAATATCCAGAGGCTGCTTGCATCTGGGTTTTTACCCATGCATATTAGACACAGGTGTAAGAATGGCCCAAGGCTCATCAGAGGGTTTTCTGCGTTTCCAGCAGAAGTCCCTACGGGCTATCTCCTCCGATGCTTCACGAGCCATTGCCTGGGGCAAGGATTTGAAACGTGTCCACTGATAAATGAACGCCCCATCCGAGCCAGACCTCCGTCCTTTGTTCCTTCTCTTTTAGCTTGTACGGCTTTATTAGAAGCCATGCTGGTTGCAAGTTAGAGCACCATTGTAAAAAAGGATTCTGGGCAATGAAAGCCACTTTGAAATTGCATTGCTTTCATTTTTATGGAATGGAAAGAAACAGTGGGGGCGGGAAGGTGAGTATCCTGGTGTCATAGCAGGTATATTTTCAAAGAAACGATTTTCAGGGTTTAAGGTTCCTTTGTTTATGAGATTAAACTTCTGCGGGTCGTTTGGTCATGTTTTTTATGATAGATTGGATGAAATCAGGCTTATAGTTTGATTCAAAACCCTAAACTTCACTTGCAGTATTGCTTTCTCTCATAGAAAACTGTCACCTGGCACTACACTCATGTGATATTCTCCACTGTGAAGGGCCTGTGTATGCATATTGTACAATATGTACAATGTTGGTTGAGTCATGCAGCTGTAGAGTCTGTTTGCATTATGTTAGTCTTTGGTCCATATAAGATCAAAATATGGAGATCCAGTTAAAACCTATACCAATTACTGATTGAATCTCTAATAAGACAAACTGAGCAGTTCCAAACTCTGTAAACATGCGTTGTTTTTCATTTGCACCTGTGTTAAAAGAAACTCACTGTAGACAATCAAATCTGTAAGTGTCAGCCCATTAAAGGAAATTAAATGACTTGATTGACTCCCTCAGGGACAATGAATCCACTATCTCAGTTGCTTTCCCTTTCACCAGACTCACAGTTACACACAGACACACACGCAGAAACCCCTGCACAGTGCTGCATGTGCTTCGCTATTATCTGTAGATGATTAAATTCAAAAACACCAGCCTTTGAGTAATGCTTTGTCTGCATTTGTACTTGGGGTGGAACAGTGCAAAAACATATAATGCATATCTGCCATACTAATCCTCAGTGTGCATAAGTAAGAGAATCTATCCATTTGTCCTCTGCTGTGGTTCCTCTTTGCTAGAATGCTGATACGGCCTGAATGGTTGGGCGAACAGAATAATTATGTGTATTTCTGCTTAAAACAGCACATCAAGTCAGATGTTGAAGTAAAACCCCACTCTTGGATGCTTTTGCATTGTTGTATACTATCAGTCGTTGATATTCAATCCATGACGTACTTCGTGTTTGAACTCTTTATTTAAAGTGGCTGCATTGCTTCCTGCCTCATCATGACTTCCAGTGTAAAACAATCAATGTAGAAATAACGCTAACTCTGATTACGATTAAACTGCCCAAAAGGGATCTGATTGATCTCCTGTTGTACAATAGAGTAGTATTTTGTGTATCGAAGTGGTGCTATGATTACTATCTGTGATTAGTTGTCTGTGTGATAAGCAAAATACACCGAAGAATACACCCAGAAAGATGACCAGTACATAATCTTGGTTTACTGTTTACAGCAGGCATTTGAAATCCCAGTTGCTTGTAAATCAGTGTCCACTGTGGTCAGCATGTACATCGCAGTTTAACAGATTTGGTGTGATGGCAGAGGTCTAAAGATTAGAGAAGTGGGCTTGTCACATGCCGAGTGGGAAAATCTGTGTGGGAAATGTGAACGAGTGACACACATACTGTCAAATTGGCCTTCAGCAAGACACTTAACAATGATTTGCTTCTTCTGTAGAGACACTAGAATCCTTTGGTTGTTGTGAATGTGTATTGAATTTAGCGTGAGGTTTGCAGTGTTGGAAAAGAACAAGGTGGTCAGCAAAACCTTTACAAAAATGAATAGAAATCTGATCATTTGAAGATATTTCTACACTTTATATATTTAAATAATTAAGACTATGATCACTGACTAATGGAATTGTAAGGTCACAAGCTGCTGACCTTTTGCCCTTACCTCATCAGTCATCACTTAAATGCCTAACAGCTGGCATTTAAAGCTAAAACAGCTAAGATTAGTATTAGTGTTGCATTAGGAGGATAGGATTTTTGCAAAAATCCATTCATTATGGAATGTTTTTAAATACATTTTGAATAATCAAAAGGGAATTAAATCTATTTTTTGGATAACAGTGATCCAGAGACAAAGTCGGGCTTTGTTGGTCTGTTTCTATTTCACTTGCTATCCTTGGTTATTAAACCAAGATCCTGTTCTCTGAAAATGGGTTGTTTTGCTATTATTGTATTAAACACACAATTGCCTCCCTTGTTGGCCACTTGTGACATACTATACAATAGATGCTTGGAAGGGCCGTGTGAGAAATCCCTAAATGTGCCTGTTTGGTTACTTGGCAGTGAGCTGAACAGAGCAGAATCCTCTTTCTGTGCACTACACAGCTGCAATTTATTTCATATGAAATAGAAACTCAAGAGTTCATGTAAGGTCTCACTTTAGACTCTCTGAAGTAATAACTATGCATTTATTCATTTTCTCACCTCTGAACATGGATTACAATCAGAGTGAGAAGGAGCTTCGGAGGTTACTGAGGATGACTTTTGGCAGCCCTGAATGCAGAATAGAATAAAAAGGGCATGCACACACATTGCTAAAAGGGACTACAGAACACTGTAGTAGTTTTCTAAAATATTTCATGGGCAACACCATTCATCTGCATTACACCGTGATCCCTGCTATGTCTTCTTATCTTTGGTATTCAGTTTTACTCCATGCAGCTTCCTATTCTTCCCAGGCAACAGGAGTTTTTGTTATCCCCAGGGATTTACTCTGATGTGTCTTGCTTAGGGGTCTGTTGAAGACATACTTGCTGTTTTAAGGACTGGACTTGCTGTCTTTTTGTAGGTTGAGGGCAGCATTTAAGCTATTAGAGTAAGGCTTTCTTTTTTGGGGCAAAACCTGAATAATAATCAGTGAATTTCCTCTGAGTCCATGCTTGATTTATTTTACCATTCATCTGATTCGTAAGAAAACTGAAAGATTTTGTTTTATGTCCCAAATCAACACAGCAGTTAGGAAACCACTCTAAAAATGGGCTGTCAAGAGATTTTATTGTTCATGGTTGACTTACAATGAGGCAAACCAGGGACAGCGTCACTGTCAGCCACCGACCATTTACCCCCGTGCACACTGCAGGCACAATAGCTTCATCTATTGAGAACAATCGCATGTCATTTTCAAAAAAACAAGCAGCTTTTTCGTCCACCAGTTGGTTACCGCAGCATTTAAAATATAGTTGCTGCAGTGAAGAAAATGTCTATTTTATATTCACTAAAAGTCACCTCTTAACAAAACTGTTAACACATGTTCCCCCCAGTGAACACTGATGTCAGCTGTAGATTCACAATCATATTCCTTGACATTGATTGAGACAAATTTAGCCACTCTCCTCCCCTCTGCTGTACAGTCATTAGTCCCCATTTCTTCAGCAGACATTGATGAGTCCCCAGACAAATGATGCTTACCTTTCCACAGTCTCCCAGTAATTCCAGCAATATATTACCCATAACACTCACACACAGTAAATGCATCATTCTGTTATTCATGCATATGTAAAAAGCCGCTCTCCGACATGTGTTCCCATTTGGAAATGGAATACAGAATTCCTTTTCTGCATCTAGTTTCTATTAAGGATGGTCCGAGGGCCCGGCGTGTCACTCTGATGAAGAGTAGCTGTAAATAAAACACGCCACCGCAACAAGACCTTGGTTCCTATTAGAGAGCAGCCGCTCATCATCCGTCTCTCCCAGTGTATTTATCTACTGCCGCTACAGTAGGTCCACAACATATATTTCCCCCTTTCCTCACCGACTTCTTCTTTCCGCCATTGCAGGGGGAAGAATCAAGGACATCCTGACATCCTGTGTTAAATTTACAGTGTTCATACCCAACGCAACACACAACTCTGGGAGTACGTCAACATTAATACGTCAGTTAAAGGATGGAACCTTCCCCCCACATTAATGGGGCTACTCCCAATTTGGCCAATAATAAGGCTCCTCTTAATTGGACAAGACAGTGATTCCTAACAGGGGACGTCAGCGCACAGCACAAATTCAATTATGGCGAGCCACTTGACTTTGTAATTGATA